GCACCGGCAGCGCCCCGTGGACAAGGTTTATGGCTCGTAATAGCGTTTATAGGCCGTAGGGTTCCAACAATGCGGGAGATATAACATCTGGGAACGTCGTTGAATAGTATAAATACAAATAAATATAATTATTTCTTGGTAAATGAAAAGAGGTCTTGGAGACTTGTGACAGACACTAATTTTCTAAACTTATATAATGGACTTACAAAATTGTCTTTAAGTAATAAACAAGAAGGTGTTAAGGATAGTGTAAGAAAAGAGAATGTTATTAAAGATAATAGAGAATCGAAGGGGAACGATGTCTAGGCATCTTACACATGACAGCAGTATTCATAGAAACATCATAGACGGGAAGATCAAAGGAAAGAAAGGCAGAGGGCGACTGAGACGAGTTATTTAGATCAGATAACAGGAAATTTAATGTTGTGTCATATCAGGAAATCAAGGTTAGGGCAAGATAAGACAAAAGCATAGCTCCTAAATCAGAAGAAGAACTAACAAGGAATAGCAGAGGAAGTCTCCTTGACGTACCAGCGCCTATAGACAATATTGATGATGATTAAAACGCAATATGTGGAAAACCAGTTTAACTTTTAATCTAAAGCAATATAACATCTCTCTGGTTTTGGCATGGTTGGGAGTCAGTTGTTTCCTAACCATGAAACGAAAGCTATAAAAAACGAAAACTACTTTCTATGTCTTCTAATAACCACACTTGATCTCAAATTAGCGAATTAAATGTACTACGAGTGTCAGAGCAACGAAATTAACGCCGGGACACTATACAGAATCAATTTCAAAAACTTCATCGAGAATCGAACCGGATATCTCCGCATCGTTGAGCAACGGAGGTCGTGGCAATAAATTACGGTTGACGTACTCTCGTATATGCCAAGTCACTAATCCAATATCCCCGGACTTTTAAAACCAGCGAGTAATCCGCTAATGCATAGTAATGGCCTTCGAAGCTATAAAACTGTATATATCGAAGTAGTACAGAATGACGCACGCGATGACGTCACATGCCCTTACGACCGACAACGTGACAATGAACCTGTTCATGTGGAATTGTGAGGATCCTTCTTGTTTTGACGTGGATTGTGATATAAGTGTAGGATAGGTTTTTACGTATAAGTGGAACAAAATCAATAGGCAAATAGTTGTTACGTAGAGATTGTCCAAGGTAAGTCCAAGACACCAGTTGTGTATTTTCAGACAGAAAATCGCTTCATTCACAAAAAGTTTATATTTAAAAGATTTTTGTAAAATAAAATGAGGAGATGTACATCTGAAAGGAATTGCCACTGCTGCTGTCACCGAGGTTCATCACTATCCTAAACCTTTCAAACTTGAACGCAGTAATGGTCGGTCACATTACTGCTTGTCGGCAGAAATTGACACAGTGCTAGACAAACTCTTTCACAAAAGCTTTACTGCTGCTAAATAAGTTCAACAAAGAGAATGGTAAACCGATACAAATTACTCCTCTTAAAATAAACAAGAGTTATCTCTTCAAACCATACAGACATTTTTTCCGATGTGATATGGGCTCTACGTTCTGCACTAACAAATATTGTAAATATACCTCTTTATTTTCTTAACATGAAACTTTACGTCTGAAAAGTGCAAGAGCTGTAAAAAAGATTCTTCCAGGGTAAGCAATTAGTAGCACCGTCTAGTGCATCAAAAGCAGGTCATCAAATGGTCTCGCTCTGCGTAACTTGAATGCTCTGTTAAAGTCTCGTTAGTAGAGACTTTTTTGATATATCTACGTAGCAGTACCTTGTCGATAGCAAAGCTGCCTAAATCGTTGTCAATATTCAATATTTACCCTATTTGCACAGCAATCCCGGTCTGCACATTTCTTCTAATTGGTGCCTTTTGTGCATTACCAGGCCGTGTACAGGCCCATTGAGCTTTAGAAAATACGATCGGCTGATTTCAGCTTTGTAGATCGTCGTCTCTGTTATCAAACTTGTGTGACACGTTGTCGCTAATTTATCAATCGTTAATCATGTCACTAACGATATCCTTCCACCTATAATCCCCCGTCCTATTAATATCAAATTCTTCCCAACATTAGTCCAATCCCCCTTTGTGTATGTCCTATATAAAATTATTAAAATTGACGATCTGTTTCTCTAATACTTAGCAAACTTTGTCTCAGTGAAGTCTGCCATTGAAAATCACCGGTTAAATTCTGAGTAATAAATGCGTGTCTTCCTTAACCTTGAAGTTGACGGAATCATTGGTTGTATCGCTGGGGATATAACTTTTAAAAAAAGAAGACGAAACAGCTTTCTACAAATTCGAAGGTAGCCGATTATGGCCGATATTACGGGCTTTGGCGGAATGTCAGCGACTATAATATACTCCATAGAATTCAGTACCCGAGACAGACTTTCATTTATTATTATTATTAATTTGTATTGTCTTTTTGTTACCGTGAAAGAAATGAATTTTAGCTTTTTTTTAAGAGTCGGTAAGGGTTTTGATGAGTCGGTTACTGCCTATTGCTTTTCATCGTGCAACCAGTTTTTTGCCGGCCTTATTTATGGTGCAGGGTGTGCGGCGCACATGAGCGCACAGTCTTAGGGTGCGCCGAGCGACGCTCGCGATGTCTCCAAAGAGCCTGCGTCACCCGTGGCGCAACCGAAGTAAACGGGCTATTACTTCCCAATAACATTTATAATTGCACCATTTGCACCCGAATTTTCGATCGCTGGGGAAAATATAACATTAAGTATTCCGTTTTGGTCGCGTGCTTACGAGAGGGCGCCAGTGTATTGATTGTACCCGGGCTACTAAGACTGTCGTACGAATAATACATACATATTATTAATATTAAATCTCTCTAAAAATCATATTATTTTTGTCTCTTTTAAATCATAATCACCAAGGAGACTAAAAAATTCCAGGGAAAATTCAGAATTTAAAATGTTCATCAGTTTTCATAGCGAATGAATTTCTGAATTGTTATATAAAAAAATTAAAAATATTAATTTTCTATAGTAATACGTAAAATAGTATTGTATAAATCAACTTAATAAATTAGGAAAGAAATTTTATTGTTTTTATTAATCCTTTACGACGTAAAGAAGATTTGAGTAATTAATTAAAATTATCTAAGACGGGGTAGAGCAATAAATTTTTTTAAATGCCAAGTTGGCTTTATTTAGAGGCGTCATTAAGTTTCTAAGACTTTGCTACTTTAGTATTAAAGGATATTATTATTTAAAACATCCACAGGAATTAACAAAGTTTGAAAAATGTTTTGTTGAATAAAAATTCCGTATACATTATTTATAGGTTACAATTCGAGCGGAACTGGCTAAAAAACAGTATACGAAAACATATGTCAGTAGAATCAAATAATCAATTAACTGTCACATATCACCTGTAACACAAATACGAGTATATTACCCATACGTTAAATGCAAAACTTAGGGTCGTATTCCAGAACTCTACTCAGTACTCAAGTCAGGACTTGAGTATTGAAGTGAGCACTGAAAATCATACTCAAGTCCTTGCCATTAGGGTCGTATTTCCAGTACTTGAATCATACTCAAGTCTGCTCAAATCCTGACTTGAGCATTGAGTAGAGTTCTAGAATACGACCCTAAAAGTGGTTCGGTTACGCAGAGCCCTCTATTGGTCTGCAATAATATAGCCTAAGAATCAACTCAGCTAAATTACAAATAATACCAGACCGCAAATATTAAACATAATGCTTTAGAAAAGGACTATCGGCCACAATCCGCCACCTTTGGATTTATTGAGCGCCGTGAGAAGTTCATCAACGACTGACAAATTAGCGACAAAGTGTCATACAAGTATGATTGACAGATACGAGGCTCTACAAATTAGATATGTGCATGCACAAGTAATAATTCCTAACGCACTTTAAAACCAGGGCTTATTATCATAATTTACGTTTCGTTGAGTACTAAAACACTTTACATAAAGGTATTGATTTTGTTGACATTGCTTACTTGTAAGGTTTCCGATCACAACCTTGGTAGCACAGACTTGGTGCCTTTTAACACACGGGATCTTAATTTTTTTAATTTTGTCTGTCTTTGTAAACTATTTAAACACGTAATTACATAATTCTACAACAAACAATATCTTGTAAATTTATTTCAGATAGCTGCCACTCATCATGGATCACACAATCTTAACAAACAACGTGTCTATCTTTTCAATCAATTCCAATGTACGAAGTTTGACCTTTAACCTTATTTAGTAGTAGGCCTTATTGCGAAAAGATTCGGCAAAAATAAACAACACTCTTCATTATCGGAGATCGTAGTTTTCCTACAATATTGGGTTACTGTTTTTTTTTTTTTGAGTGTTTCTTAGTATGTACAAGTGCGTAAATGGTGAGTGGAGAAAGTGCATTGTAATTCCATACCTTCACATAGCAAAAAATGTTAATAGTTCAATTGCTATAAATAAAAATATACTGGAACAGGCTAAAAAATATATATATAGGAACGTCACAAAGCGTTCCTAATATTTCTATATAGTGCAAAGATATGGACGATCCTTGAAATTAAGAAGATAGAGGTTTGAAATTTACGATCATGAAATAGAATTATAATACTAGTTTGTATATACATGTCGACACATGTATAAATTAAAAAAATATAAGAGCCTATGAAAACTGCGTATTTTTAACGACCACTACTACTACTACGCACTACGGACTACGCGCAGGTGAAGCGCGTTAACTTGATTCAGCTGCAGTCAGTAATAATGAATAACGCGTACGACGCTGGGCCACTGGAGCGCACCGAGAGAATATGCGATTGTGTGAGCCCGTACACGGCGCGCGACTCACGTGCAAACATACAAACCCCGCTGTTATGTTTGTTGAAAGTTACACTTCTTGTCTTATTAGGTATATGGATATACTCTTCATACGAGCATTAGGAAAAAAACTGAAAATAGTGATTGCAGATAATTCGTTGCCGTTACTTATTGTATTATTAACGTACCTGTAGTATTTCCACTCATCTCGATGATACATTTGCATTCGCGGGTGATCTCCCGCGTGTTGAAGGGGCGAACCCTCACCGCCACCTTCACCGACGACATGGCTGCTTCTTCTTTTTACAACCTCTAGCACATCTGTGTTAATTCCCGGTTACACCTGTAACAAAGGATAAGAATCATTAATAACTAAAATTATTGACTTTCTTGTGGATTCATTATGCGTTACATAATTCGCTCTCTAATCAAATAACGACGGATTTGATTTGATTAGGCCTTGATTAATTAGGTAATACGTGTAGTGCTTTGATTAAACTTAAATACAAATTATAAACAGGTCTAAATTAATGTTATGTTAATCTTCAACAATATTTATTTGAACATTTATTTTCTTATCTAGGTTTTAAAAATTGAAGCTAAATAATTTACTTTAAAAAAAATTCATTGTATTATTTTACATGATGGCGAAGGTAAATCAAGCAAATTAATTTACTTCCATTTTTATTAACACGGATTTCCGAAAAGTAACGTAGTATTCATTCGTCGGTTTTGTTGAAAAACATATATACTTCCATTGTAAAAATGAAACGATTAATTAACACTGCCATTTTTTTTTATGAAATATACAATACTGATACACGTGAAGAAAACTCCTTCAAATGATTTAACGTATGTATGTTTACGTTGTAAAATACTACGCAATATCTGTAGAATTAATTATACGGGAACAAACTAATTTTAACATCTTATTATAACCAGATCGGGGCTAAAGGAACATCATTACGCATTATCGGAGTTTCTAATTACAAGGTAGAGTCTACATTATGGTAGTACTGGATTTATGTTTGGATCGTAGTTTCATGTTCGTTTAGTGCGTGCAAGTTATAATCGTATTATTATTCGATATATATTAAAAATTTGGATAATTAGTAAAATAATTCTCAGTACACCATGATTTATTTACTCATAACATTAATTTGAAGTCCGTCAAGCAAGATCCTTACATCGACTGAGAAAAGAGCTGATGGTCTTTACACAGCTGCACTGATGCTTGTCATCATTAGGAACCATGCCGACTAAATAAGCCTTCAAAGACATAAACAACCGCTTTGAAGTAGTTCATCTGTTTGAGAACTACATCACCACAGACACAGTATTCAAGATTATAACTGCCCTCTTTTTGCGTCGGGAGATCCTCCTTTACTAAGTAGAGAGAAGTACTGCCTTACCTATTTCTGCCTTCATGCGGTAATGAGAATGAGCATTACTGCGTTCCGGTTTTGAAGGTTTTGATTCGTGCCGAATCCGAAACTATACAAATCTAGAAAACTTGGACCCAGTTCGGATGTCGCTTGTGCACTAAGTCAAATTCGAATCCAAGAAAATACGAATAGCGCTTATACCCCTAGAGATAAAATGATATCTGTGACATTTCGGACCGTCATTTCTCGGATTCGGACTATAGGAATCGGACGTAGCGCGCAAACGCTCTAATGTGCGGGTGAGAATACCGGCACACGGGACTTACCAACTCGTGTTTCAAGATGACAGGCGCAGTAGCAGTGTCAATCAGATATTTGCGATTTAAAGCTCTGAGTAGCATTGCTATGGACACACGTGTCGCTTACCACCGGGCGCACGATTTGTTCTTCCCTTCACATGGTATCATGAAAAAAAACCTCAAACGAAGAGAGGCACTCGGAATTTTCAACAAAATTACCGAACGGTAAAAGCGAAAACGAGAGAGCGAATATTAAGGCATTTTGTGAATGCCGCGAAATGTCCCCGCACTTAGAGAAACGGGGAACGGCCAGTAATGAGAATGTCGTCGAAGCCAAATGCCGGGATTATACAGCAATGAGAAGGCAACAATTACCGTCTATCGGCACGTTAAGGCCCGTTGCGTATTTACGGAATTAGTTTAAATGTCTCTGACGTCATTTGGTCTTGACTAGGTGAGAGCTCGTAAGACCATTTGTGTTATGTTAATTCATATCTTGAATAACTCCTTGGCTAATTAAATTGGGTGTTTGAGTTCATACTCAAAGTACGCCTAGCCTTAGCTTGCCTTTGGAGTTAAGTTAAAAAAATCTTGGTAATTATTATTGGTACTCGGCCGCCGTTTTAGTTTTAGTCGGGCGCTTGTAACAAAAATTTTAAACCGAGAAAATAATGTTTAAAGAAATGAAATTTAAAAAATATCTATTTTTCTCCTGTAGTAACTTCATACCTTATCTACCAAGAAAAAAATAAAAACAGTGTTAAGTCAACCTTTTTTTACTGATCACGGCAGTACATATAACATTTTTTTAAATGTCACTTGAGCAATTTAAATTAACGAGGACAGTATTATTACTGCAACGTATACTTTCTTAAACGAGCAAGTCGTCATGATCTACAGCCACAGTTGGGTATTCGTTGGGTTCGTGCCTTTTTTATGATACCAAGAGACGGGAAGAACAAGTTGTGCACCTGATGTTAAGCGACACGCCTGTCCATAGCAGACGCAGTGCCCTCAGAGCTATAAATCGCAACAATCCGAGGATCACTGTCACGGTGCCTTTCACCTTAAATTCACAAGTCTCATGTGCCTGTAATTGCACCAGCACCTTTACCCTTCAAACCCGGAATGCAATAATACTCACATTACTGCTTGGCGGCAGTAATAGGTAAGGTGACAGTACAACGAACTTTCAGAAGGAGCTCTACTGCTACTAAATGTGTCTGTGCTTTGTAATAACTCCTGTCTAATAGTTATTACAAAGCAACAAATTGATACGTGAAATGTTAACTTTAATACTCTAGTTATTTTTCATTAAGGGTGGATAATAATGTATCAGATAACTATACCAATTGCTTGCTTTGAAACTGATACATTCTCTGTACTATAAGTAAAAGAGGCCCAGACTTGAACCAATTTCCTTTCTTTGTGTTCAATCTCTGTATTAATAATTATAACAAACTAGTGGAGTAATTTCACAAAAAAAAAATGTCATGGTAGTAACATCATGACATTGAACACGGACAAGCCTTGAAGACGGCCGTAAAGTTGCCTGCATATCGGTATTCTACAGGATATATAACGGTGAGTGTGCGTTGGAATTACACCACTTAATTCCGCCTTCCCCTTTCCATCACCGGGGGGCTAGACCTAGACTTGGGCACCACCCTTATCTTGTGAATGTTCCATAGATTCGCACCAAGCGTTACGCTTCCACATTTATATGGCGAATGGCTATGAAGTGGAATTCCCTGCTTGCAGACTTGTTCCTTTATATAACTTGGGCCTTTTCAAGGCGAGAGTGAGTAGACATTATTTACGTGTTTATGCTCCATCGTCGACCTCATCGTCACTTTCCACCAGGTGAGATGGAGGTCAAATGCGTACCTACTTATACATTTTATATAAAAAAATTAAAATAAAGCAAATAGGAAATGAAACTATTTTTCCGGATTTAAATCGCGTATATTTGTTTTTTCAAACAAACCGAGACGTTTCTGGCCCTTTACAGGTCCCATGGTCACGGTTGACCGTCAACCGTGACTATGGGACCTGTAATACGCGATTTAAATCCGGAAAAATAGTTTCATTTCCTATGTGTAACAATCGCGAAAACCTAAGAACTCGATAAAATAAAGCAACTTCAAAAATACTTTCTCGATTCCCGATTGAGCCCACCTTATCTTTTCCAGTGCAACACTGTTGTTACACGAACATAGAAATAAAGTATTACATTTTTTGGGTCTTTTAAACTTACTAATAACTGTGTCGAGAATGAAAAAGCGTGACTCGTGGCTGTAGATCATGACTTAATGATCAATTTAAGCGTCACGTTCGGCTGCACTTCGTATCGCGTCTTTCGCGGTGCGCGAGCGCAACAGCTGATTTGACAGTTTACAAGCAAGCGTTATTGATCTACTAATATTATAATTTATAATGTAAAAATACAATTTTTATTGTTGATTACGCAACATAATGACAATTAAGTACTTACTATATTATTATGAACACACAAAACCATCTGAATATTTTGGTGTAAACTTTAATATAATCACATACGTTTAAGATTGCTAAGCGTAAATATTATCATTACCTATTTTACCCGCTGGTCAAGGTACATGTAACAAAGTTAACTAGTGTAGCCGTTTCACTTAAAAACAATTTACAGCGACAGACACTCTCACAATCCAATACATAATTATCACAGACATATTCTTTAATTTTCGCACTAAATACGGCGCAGCGAGACTATTCGGCGCCAACGGTATTCACAGTTACTTGGTACAAAGTTCGGGCATAAAATGGTGAATGTTTTCCTGAAAGTGATCCCGCGCCGTAATTGGCCACGGTCGACCGCCGCTGCCGACCGTGGAACACAGCGTAGACTTCGAAAGTAGATGCCCGTCCGTCCGGTGCACTTGGCACGCAATTACGTAAGAAACACTGCAGTCTACATCTTCCGAGGAACGGCTACGAGACTTCTCGAGATCGAAGTGGTCATGAAAACGTGTCGCCGCAGAGATGACTCACCGCTGCACTAGCGCCATCTACACATACCATATCCAAGAGCACACAGCTTTCAGCCTTCTACGAATAGACACTGCACTGGGAAATAACGCAATCCTAGCCGCTACTAACTTACCCTAGGCTCCTTGCGACTGAAGGGGGTTCGAATCTCGCGTTCGCGTTTGTTTTGTAGCGAGAGCTGGGCGCTCCGCTCAGGTGGCAGCGCCTGCGGACATGGTGCTTCGCGGTCGGGTGCGCGGTGCGACTGCGGACCGGTTTCTTCGGCGGCGGTTAGACGGCGCGGCGCATGCGTGCGCCACCCGCCCCCGCGACCGAGCCTTCGATCTAACTCCGCGGTGCGCGACCCCCGAGCTGCGCATCTACACCGCAAATAACACCGACCACACAAACCGGACCGTTTCTACTGCCAACTATACCTTACCACCCTCGTCACCGTCCTTACCTAATTAGTATGTTCAAAAATGTTTGATACTACTTCTCCCCCAAAGAACAGGAGAAGGGTCGGCGTCGAAGCTAATACGTCATCGGGCGTAATCCCATTACTGTCTAGCCCACCGCAGTCTCCGTCATCCCCTATGCTCCCACGTACGGGGCTGTTTACTTAAATGCTTCATCGCTATGAATTATGGAAACATATATGCCAGACGCCAATATGAGGTCATTATGGTAACAGTATTGTAGGTAGAGAATTTATAGGTGTTTGAAAATGCAAAAGAGGCGGCGGGTCGAAAGGATGCCGAAAGGAAGTGTACCAGGAATTCGGGGCACGCGCGCTTTGATTTCGGCGTCCTGATCAACTTGATGGACGGTCTGTCTTGAATTTTAGACTAGAAGTTGTAAATCTACTAACTTCAACAGATGGAGTTACTATGTTCTGATCTGGTTTAGAGACGTGTAAATAATTCTGAGTGGTGTACCACTTCAGAATTTTTTCTTTTGACGATCTCCGACACACTTTTCGAAAGTTCATCTCAAGAAACGAGATAATACCCGATTGGTAACCAAATTAATGGTACGAAGTTTAGATTTCAAGGGCCCCAACTTCGTACGGGGAATGAGAAATGGTGCAGGGTCAAGGATCTAGACAAACTGCGCATTTGTTCTCGTGACGCAATGACTGCGTATTGATCAGATACAAATGGTTCGAGATAGCTGATTCTTCAGGCCGGACTCAAATGTGCCACTGAGGTGGGAAAGACGTCACACGAATACATGTTACACATTCTGTTCAAATTGGTGACGTAACTTTCTTACTGGGAAAGACAAGAACAAGAAATTCTGACTAAAATTATAAATGATAGGTTAAGAATTGATGAAAAAAGTGAAACAGCCGTCCATACTTCTAATATTCGTAGGCACACAAAATACTTTCGTTGGAAAATTTTAAGTTTCGAAATGTTTTATGCGAAACAATCAAACTTATGTTTCACTTTAAACAATCACTAAATACAACAATGGATATTCTTCTACAAACACTGTAAACAGACATAACCGCAAACAATACAATAATAATGATGTTATTCAAGACAAAGCCAATAGCAATATCGATTGAAAGCAAGATGCGTGTTACGGCGGCCGTATTAGCCCAAGTGCCGTTTGGGATCGAATTACACATAACGCGCAATAAAATAGAGGTTTATGGGGGACCTGCTCGGTCATAAGTGCGTTCTTTCGGTCATTTATAATATGGATACAAGAGAAATGCTTACGTCGTTGACTTACTAAGAAGCAAGAAAAAGGAAGACTTTATATTAAAAACGTAGGCTCAATTTACCATGCCGCACAACGGAAAAGAAGCGAATTTGTAAACAAATTCTGCCCTCCGTGTCATAACTAACGTATTTTTGGTAACTTTAAAAGTAAAGTTTAGTTCTTCTTTAAAAAATGTCAAATCCGTTGATTTTATTTAATAATAAAACAGAAACTAAATAAGATATAAAAAAACTTATAACGGGTTGTAGATCTCATTTTGCTGACTCCAGAAATGTTAATAAATCAATTTTGCACAAAATGTCGATTACGTTATTATGATAAGGAGGGCAGAATTGTACATAACATAATCAACTTTATGTCAATCATGTAACGTACAAACTATGTAAGTAACAAAAGTATATAAGTAATCTTATTACCTTATTTATATATACATTTCAATTATGTATGTATTTATGTAGTATATTAAGAATATATTTACATTTCAATTGTGCATTTATTTTTATATTTACTTTATTGATGAGTAGTGTATCTATTTAAAACACTTTAATTACAAGACCTTCTTTGGTTGCACCCCCTTTTAAACTATACATTTCTGTCCTGAGGTTGCCTCGAAGAAATTGTTACTTCGTAATAAGGACGCCTGTTGTACATTAGCTTACTATGTGATACTTGCATTATTATTCTGTGTTATCATTGTAATTTTTAATGTGCAATAAAGAACATTTCATTCATTCAAACTAAACACCGCGTGAATTCCCGATACTGCGCGAATTCTCCAGAAGACGCGCGACGAGTTTTTGGCTCATATCTAGTTTGTATGTTACACGCTTGGAATAAGGTTCATTATGCCATGGTTATAAAAATGCTTGCATGTCGTTTCGTACGCTGAGTGTAAAAATCTGTATAATTCTGTTTAGATGTAGTTTTACTCTAAATTGCACTTTAAACACTGATTTACACATTATGCGCAATAAAATTGTGCTTTACGGGAGGCCGGTCATGTGTACTTCTTTCAGTGATTTTTATTATTGATACAAGACACAACCAACACACGTTTCGTTCGTAGAATTTTTAAGAAACAAAAAAATAAAACATCACACCGAATTTCGCAGCGTTCAAATTAATTGTAACCAATGTCGCTCTGAATTATACCATAAATATCGATTTTAAAGTGTAGCTCTGAGTAAAAACTACACATCTCTCGTAATATTAGGCCATAAAACCAAGGTAGTAAGGCACGGATATAGGAAGTTTGGACGACACTTTCTGAAGTAAGAAATAATAAGACACTAAGGAAACCCCGTATCGCGGGTGCCATTGACAGACACACAACCGCAAATTACACTCAAACTCACGCGAGAAATAAATGTAGGCCACACAAATATTTCTCCCGGGCCAGGAGTCGAATCCGGCACCTCCGCATGGCAGCCCTGCAAAGTAACCGTTCGCCGACAGAAGCAGTTAAAACCGGAACACAGTAATGTTCACATTACTGCCTGGAGGCAGAAATAGGTAAGGGGCACCTAAGTTTGCTGGTGAAATTACAGGCACATGGGACTTGCCCCTCAGATCTTTGCGACTTAAAGTTCTGAATGACACTGCAACTATTATGGATAGGGGTGTCGCTCACCACCAGGCGCACGACTTGTTCGTCCCACCAGTTGTTATCATAAAAAAACCAGTTTACAAAAGTTTATAGACCAAATTGGTCCTACCAACCACCACCGATGCCGCCAATTTACAATTACATAATAACTCAACCTTCCTGAGTAGATAACACATCTTCAAAACCTTCTATGCGCCTCGTCACCTAATGCCATAGGCAGAAAAGCTTTTTTCTGTCGCCCTAATGGATTAATAAAGGTAAATTTTCTTTATGAAACTCTGTAACGCATCACACGCCATTTCTGTTATAAATCTCACAGCTAAATAAAAGTGTGTATTACTTTTTGTATTTACCTTAAATTCTTTGCCATATAAGAAAAAACGAATTATTCATGACGTATAATCATTTCACATTGGAACACTGTAATAAAGTCAATACAATGTAAACAATGTTACATTTAGATTTTAATAGCATAGTAGTAGAATAGTAGACCTGCATAGCTATTTCTGCCGTCAGCCAGTAATGTGAGCATTACTGCGTTCTGATTTTGAAGGGTAAGGGTGCTGGTGAAATTATAGGCATAGGATTTATCGACTTATGTTTCAGGGTGACGAGCGCAGCGAGGTGTACGTCAATTTTGATACAAAGCTCAGAATGGCTCTCCACGCTTAACACCAGGCAGACGGCTTGTTTGTTAATTCAAATTAAATAATTTATTTGCTACAAACATGGTGGTCAAAGCACGAAGCACGTGTCGCCAGAAAATAAGACAAAAAATTGATCTTCACATGGTCACATTAAATTATATAATCTCTATAATAGTAATTATATGCATTTTACTCAATACTTAATATTTTATTCCGTAATTTATTAAATATATCTATATTTTGTATTAAATATTTATATTATTAATTGGACATATTTCTATCATCCAAGTATTCGTGTAGTGTATAGTGATTTTAGCCACTAAATATGTTTTTAACGCTTCTATAAATTTGGTTTTTTGACATAACAAACGGACTAGATGAACGCAATGTTAATCGCGAGTCTGGTGGTCTTCATGTGTCTTTGTATCGGAACGAATATTTAGGAGGAATGTCTTCGCGCTTTGCAAATAACTAAAATATACTTCCACGGTAAAATGAGAATTTAGTGTTGTTGGAAGAAAGGTTTGCAACTGTCGGTCTGTTTTACATTTACCAGAATTCTTACAAGCTTTTTTAAAAAGTAAACAGTATTGATGCATCTGTACCGTTATCACCGCAGAGCTTAGCCAATATATAATATTAGTAATAATAGTTACAGGTACTTAAATGAATTCAAATTATTTTACATAATAATAAAATATTGAAAAATCCCTAACACTTTTTTAAGTTTTTTTTAATGTTACAATATGTCACCATGATATTCAATTCTTTTTGTAAAATACTGCGAAAAAGGCGCTAAAAACCCATTACACTGACCGCAACATAGAGAAATGCGTTCGATACGTAGCTTAGTTGGTAAGAGGCTGAGGCGACAGACTCTAGTTCGAATCAAGTCGGATCGAAATATTTTTTCTTTGTTTCGATCTTTGAATCAGTAATAAATAAATAAATATAACTAAAAAAAGCAAAAAAAAAACAGAGGGTAGTAAGAACATCATGATATTCTATAAAAATATATATAGTAAAAGTATACTATCATGTTTGTAGACATTTTTGCTCCTACTCCTAATCTCAAATACATCTAAGGATAATTTGCATATCATAATCTACGTATCTCATCGAGTATGTAACCAGAAATAGAGACGAAATAAGGGCCATCCATCTCAGGCAAATGGGCCTTATATCACTTTTAAATATCAACTCTCGTTTGCGCTGAAAACACAAATTAGAAAGCTGAAATAGTACAGCGCCAACAACTGACCTGTGTGTACGTCTC